GGTAGGTAATCTAGTTTTCTAGTTTTTTGGTGTTAAATCCTAAAACATGAAGTGGCATTATTGTCAGTTGCTATGGCAACGAATCTGCACATAGCTTGGCGGATACAATATAACAATAATAACAATCTTTATTGTCATTATAAAACCATGCAATAGTTTACATAGATTATAAGAAAATTAATGAAAAAATGCTGCTACAGGGTATTTAATGCCCTTATGGCCACCGGATATAAACTGTACTTCAGTCTGTTTGTTCTTTGCTTTAATGCTTCTGTATCTGCAGCCAGATGGCAGCAGCTGGAACAAATTGTGACCGGAGTGTGAGGAGTATTTTAAAATATTCTTGGCCTTTCTGAGGCAGCGGGACCTGTGGAGATCTTCAAGAGAAGGCAGAGAGCAGCTGATGATCTTCTCAGCAGATTTTATGATTCTCTGGAGTCTTCCTTTGTGCTCCTGTGCTGCTGGGGAACCACACACAGAGACAATAGCAGATGAAGCTTTCAATAGAGCATCGACCTTTTGATGTCTTCGATGCTTTACTTTTCATCTATTTATTAATGTCACATACTGTTTTTATTTTTTCTTTAATTATGTAAAGCACCTTGAAATGCCTTGCTGCTGAAATGTCCTATCCAAATAAAATTTGATTGATTGATTGATTGATTGATTGATTGATTGAGTGAACAACCAACATCATGACACTTCATATGCTTCCTGAAACATTCTGCTGAGATCTCTTCCCAGTAAACCCACAAAGACAACTGGTACTGTGAACTGAATACAATTCTACTTTATTTTAATGACTGAACTGATGCACAATCAGACAATTTCTACTTTTATGTTATGTTTCAGTAGATAGCTCTCAAGCCAGCTCATCATTAAACCGCCTTTGTAGATTTTAGTAATGAGTCAGTCCAGATTTTAAATCTTGGGTCTTTTATTCAATGAATCCTTAAAAATAAACAAAAAATACTTTCTAAGATTGGGGAACACAGACATTGATACAACAATCCAACAAGTTAAGACACACAAATGTTCAAGTGATCAGGATGCAAACAGTAAATGCTGTTTTTTTTTTTTTTTAAGAGAATTGATTTTTTTAGATCAGTTCTGATGACGATATGTTGACTAGGAGGCCTTATAGATGGCATCTTGGAAAAGGCCTTGATGGCATCTATGACAGCAAAAAAAAAGGTTATGGCAGGTTCTTATGAATATCATAATTGTCTGAACATGGGACTTTTAATATACAATTTAATCTGTGAAGTGTGTTCTGCTTACTGTTTACATATGTAAACTGAAAGTCAAATTGCACCAGTAGAATATAAATACTTTAGACGCGAGGTTGAATAGAATAGAATATCTCAAACCAAATCAAAAGGGATGTTCTTTTTTAAGTATTGTAGGACTCGATCACAACAATGAATAGTTCCTTAAAATATTGTGATGCCCATGCTATTAGGTGCTTCCTCCTTAATACAAGTCAGATTTGAAATTTATTCATGATTTACGTTTTTTACTTTGCATTGGGAAAAGAAAAGCTAAAGAAAAAAATCTGAGGGGCAATAGAAGTTTAGGTGTTTAAATTGCTTACCCAAATTTATTTATTACACATGAAAACCTTAACAGGGAACTACACCAATTTCTCTACTCTCAAATAAAATTTTAAGTAATCCAACACTCAATAAATATGTTTCAAATATTAACTATTCCAAAACATGGATCAGTTTTCAAGTTTTACTTTCTGGAGCACATGGAATGCACACATGAGATTATCCATATTGCCCTTTTCCACTGGCACCTACTCAGTATGGCTCAACTCAACTTTACTCGATTACAAAGGTATTCTCAGTAGTTATGTGATACCTGTCCCATTTTTAGGATCCAGTTTGCAGGGGTTCCAAATCTACTAACTAAGACAGCATCAGAAGATTGTCTGTTACTGATTGTAATGTAATATAATGTTCCCTTTTTTTTTTGCATATGTTTTTATGTAAATCACATTTAACTGGCTTGTTGATTTGCCATGACGTGTGACTGTTGATGGCTGCCTACGGGTACCAGTGAACAGCAAGATGATTCGAACCCTGTAAAGTAATTACTGGACCAACAAGGACCACAACGGCCGCAGTGGTTCTACGGAACAGACACCATTTACAGGCACCAACCAGTAACAGGTAGAGTTGATTGAACTTGAGCACATCATTACTGTATTCCATAATGGATGATGGCTTTATGACTTAAAGAGTCTTGTATGCAACTTGTTCCTCAGTGCTGAGCTTACTTTGAACAAACAAGGATATTCTGAAATTTATGGTATTGTCTTGCATCAAGACAATACTAACTTGCCATCAATACTAACAGTGTGCTCTGCTTGGATTATTCACTGTCTCTTACATATATTGCAGTTACACCTTATGTAAGCTTTGTGTTTCCAGAATCTCTTTCTATGAGAAGTATGTCTCTACTTCCCTTAATTTGGACTCTCCAAGCTCTACTGCTTCTACCCCAACACCATCCACTGCTTCCACACGTGCAGCAGTTTGTACAAGATCATGCCACACTACTTTTTAAACTCTGGTGCCACCCAATTATGATAATTTCACTGTTAGAACTGTTGTAATGAAAAACCACCTAAACCATGTAGAGTTGAGCCAAGTCGAGCCATACAGTAGAGCTGTCAGTGGAATAAAAAGGCCTTACTGACATTACTGGTGTCAGTAGGGACTGGCTGCTGCTTTGTGCTTTCTAAGACAACATATCGTATAAAACCAGTGACTGTATTTGAACAAGTTCTCATCAGTCCTAATGTTTATACCACTGTCCACGGACAAATCTGTGTAAATCATTGATGGTGACTAAGGTGAGTAAAGATTTTACTGATACATGACATTGATCTTCTGGGTCTAGAATACATCAGCTAGATAAATGTCTGCTTTCTTGTGATATGGAACAAAATAGAGAGAGGAAATTGTGGCAGTTGTCTAAGAAATCAACACCAAAGCATGAGTTAAAAAAAACCTAAATGCTTTTTCACTCCTTCTGAGGGCAGCACAATATTAATGTGAATATGCTTCCTTTTAAATTGATTCATCAGTAACTCAGATTAAAAGAAATGGATTTTTTACATGAGTATATCTATGTATACTTTATTAAATAAAAAAATTGTATAGACCATAAAATCACCTTCTTGCTATTTTTTTCTTGCTCATGAAAAAAAAGCACAGAAGACATTTGCTGTGACAGTAAACTGCTGTTTGTTCACAATATGAGGGAATCAATATAAAATCAAATAAAAATTGTATGTTCAAAATGCTTAATGGCATCATTGTATGAAAAGGAATGCACCTATACAGAATAAAAGCAATCCAATATGAAAATTCCTGTTTCCTGTTACTTTTTTGGAATATTCCAGACAATAATTAACAGCAGTTTGTATCTTGATCCTGCTCATTTGTTACATGTAACTTCTGCATGGTGCACAGAAAAGTTTACTCAGCTGATAACCCTGGACTGGCTCAATCCAGCTCCTGTGAGAATTCTAAAGAAACCAATTGCAAGTACAGAGAACACATCTTTGTCAAATTGTTACTGTCCACTTTTACAGTTACAGCCGAACTTCAGGTGACAAGTTCCACACATCAGTCCGTTACTTTCTTCTTGAATCCTCCTTAAATCCTTGGATTATTTTCCTATCCAAGGTCAATTTACACATCTGTCCCATAATAACAAAAGACAGGATTATTTTTTTAATATTTCTTCTAAGATCTTGAGTTTCTCATTGTATGATCGAGATAGCAGGTTATCAAGATATCCATTTCAAACACACACACAATTTAAAAACTCTGAACCCAGAACTGATTGGAGATAAGTAGGCAGATGACATGATTTGACAGTTTGTCTATTTTTTTTTATCAATTGATGTAGCTGGTCTGTTCACTGTTTCCAGCTTTAGCAGACGGTGCCGTTCTCTTGCCGGGCTTTGGGACAGGTGGATCTGGGTATTGGCTGCACAGAGGGAGCCAGGGTGCAGAAGAAACCAGCGATGAGGGTAAGGCCAAGACCTCCCCAGGCGCAAAACATAGACCATCCATAGCCATGGCCAATGTCGTCAGGAAGGCCGTACAGGTACCGCGGGTAACGGGAAAGCTCAAAGTTAATGCCAGCAACACAGGTACAGAGGGAGATAATGCAGAAAGTTCCTGTAACAACAGAAGTAGAACAAAAGTTGATGTTTAGCACAGTTATTGATTAATAATCAGCATCTCCTCACATTTTGAGTTTTTAAAGGAGAAGTTTGATCATCTTAAGGTGCTTTAGTACTGCAGGGCCTGGCCCCGGGCTGACCTGCGTTCAAACCCATGTTTGGCATCTTTACAATAGTCCCTATGGCGAGTTCTATTCAGTTACATTCTATTCTATTCAACTGGGGTAGAATTGATAATTCCAGTTCTACACCAGCTAGGCCAGTCTGATTTGAAGTCGGCATAGCTTGACACTTAGCTCAATAGAGGGTGGTAATTGCACTGATTGATCTGATTGGCCAGATGTTCAGCTCATTCCCAAATGGGATTTGGACTACTAGCAAAAAAAGGATTCATAGTATAGAAGAAGTAGTGAAGGGAGAGGATAAAAAAATAAGAACGTTAGGAAAGGGAAAGCTTGATAATTTTTGTTTCCTTTTCCTGATCTTATTATTCTGTACAACCCTTTTCTTCTTCTATTTGCAAATGTCCATAGTTCCACACAATGAAAAGTAAAGAAAAATAAACAATCAAACCAAAATGACATGTGTTGAAAAAAGCCACACATTTATAGCTCATTTTCAAAAGTACAAGCAGATAAACCAGCTGTACGGGAAGAATTGCTTAACTCTTTGTCTTTGATGGCTCTGTTCCTATCCACAGATTTTTGTGGTATAAATGCCAAGTAGATGTAATGATGCACAAACGTTGAGACAAGATAAAATGACATGCTACGGAAATTAGCATGCTACATTAAAATGTTGTTGACATATATTTGTTGATAAATTATTTTAATTATCAGCTTTTATATCAGCTATTATTTGGACTCTTAGCTACAGCAGATGAAGAAATAGATCCTAAATTTGGGCTGGCTGTGGCCCTGTGTGTTGCTTAGCTGTGATTTGGCTCCTGCAGAGTGACTAAGCATATTTTTTATGTTTTTATTATCAAGAAACATAATTGTCTTTTAAATGCTTATTCATTATAAAACTCTAGGGCACAGCCTTAATCCAAGATTGATCATAGCTGAGTGTGCAGCTGCCTCTTGCCAAGCTGAGCTGTTATGCTGTGTGTGAAGTTTCCACTGGCTGCCCATGCTATAAATGGGACACATTGCTGCACAACACTTTGTTTCTTGGGGGGTTAGCACTCTCACTATAATGTTTATACTTCACTTCTGCTCAGAGGGCGTTTGTGAACCCTTCTAGTAAACAGAATATAAACTATAACTTTACATTTTCCAGTAAAAAATGAAAACTGGATGCCGTTTCAGCAGAATTTTCAAGTTAGTAAAGTTCTATTGAAATCACACATTTGCCCTTGTAACATATCTTGTTGCACACAAAACTTTGAGGTGTGGGGCGGTGTTTTGTTTCATATACTAATAAGGCTTTTTTTTTTAAATTAATCACTAAAATTTTGTGACTAATATAGAGTAAGTAATTACTAAAAAAAATCTCCCACTTGACAATAAAATTTAATAGCATTGATTTGCTCACTTGAGATTGGTTGTCTCATTGATCTTGGGGTATGTTGTTAAAACACATTTAAAAACACTCATGCTCAGTCATGTCAGTTTTCCACAGTCAGGATGAGTACAGGTGATCAGATCACCTGTTCTGCACATAGATCAGATTATCAATTGGCATAAAACAACCCTCTTGTTTGGATAACATCTTCATTCTGATGGACCTTAATCAGACCATAATATTTCAATTGGACTGTTTGCATTTTTATTCTGATCAGCTGCTGATTCCTATTACTTATGTCCATGTAAATAAGTTTAAGTTGAATCTTTAGTAGGTGCTACAGTCAGGCTAATGCTAACCACAACTATCAATTTACCATGAACTGAAATAATCTAATAAAAAAAATGAGAATGTGTTTTAGTCTAGTTAAACAATGGCCTGGCACCACCTTTGCTAGGGACTGAAACAGTTAACTTGAACTAATACTTTGTTCTACACTCACCTCCCATGAGGAAGAGCAGGCCAGCCACATATTGCATGAGACCTCTATCCCAACAACAGCCGAGCAAGCCAATGATCCAGCCAAACAGAATGATGGCCACTGCCATGCCCATGAAACCAGCTGTCATTCGCCGCAGGTCTGAGGTGGGACACAAGCAGAGAGGAATTCCTATAGTTAATATTTGTTTACACCAATTACTGCAGATGAAGAGAGAACCTCACACACTTTCAGAGTTTGGCCAGTTGAAGCTGAGATTAAATGAGGCAGCACTTAACTACAGATGTGCTGTTAAGGTTCTGCAGATCATGTGAACCCTTGTGAAAAATATATGCTATGTATATTAAATCTTAGCATACTTGAAGCCAGACTAATCATCAGTATACTTCAAGTTTGTTAAGGATTATTTTACTTGAAGCATGTTATTTTGGAACAACTAGTTTGTGTTTAATGCATTTTTATTGTAATTACATTATAGAAAATCACAATTTAAAGTGTACTAAGTGTACTATCACATGCTTTTTTGGAACAACCAAAAGTATTCTTAATATACTTTAATTATAACACTTTTCATGTAATACAAACGTGCTTGATTAGTCAGTAACGCGTTACTTAGTAACGCTTTGACGTCGGACCACTTTTTTCAGTAAGAAGTAATCTAACACATTACTATTTCAAATCCAGTAGTCAGACTACAGTTACTTATCAAAATCACTTTGCGTTACTGTACGTTACTATTATCTTTTGTAATTTAATTTTATTTCCTCTACGCGTCTTGGGGAGCGACCACCGTTTAATGCGACAGTGTCAGCACCGACAGAAATGTAAATAATGGAGGGAGATGTGCATTTTGTTGCTGAAAAGAACTATTTTGAGTTTCGCTCGCCAAGTCTGATTATTATTTGCAGCTTTCTGCTTGTTTTTTTCTAAAGTCGCTTGCAGATTTAATGAGTCGGTTTTTGGGCTTGGGAATAAACAGACATAATTTGTCTGACATCCAGTTAGTTTTAGTCCATCATTTCCCGGATGACCTGTCCCGCTGTGTCTTTGTTAATGTTAAGTTAATATATTCGCTGTGAGCGACGTTGAGCTTTGTGTTGCCCTCCAAAAGAACTGCAAACATCGAGACTAATATGAGCAGCGCAATATACGTGAAAACAGCCACGAATGAACGTGTCCGTAAAGTTGTGCAACTAAATGCCCTTATAATTATTAATATTAAGATAAGTGTCACAAATCTGTGCAGCAGCCATCCGAATTCTGGAGCCGCAGGAGGAACTCTGTGCGCTGAGCTGTGACAACAAACGCAGGGCGGTAACGCACAGCCTGGAGGCCGAGGGGAGGGGGGGAAAATCCTATTTATAGTTTTCCAGACAATAGTGGAACACACAAAAACATGCACAAATTACTAAAGTTATTTTTGTTCTGTTGTAACCATTAAACAATGTCCCCTTCGGTTCAACCTTATAAGTGGAGACACATTGTTGATGTTACCATTATAAAATAACTTGCAATTAAGTTGGCAAAGATCAATTTAATTTTCACAGGTGGCAGAGTGTTGCTAGCAGCTGCTGAAAGTAACTAAAAAAGTTACTTTAATGTAACTTAGTTATTTTCCAAATCAAGTAACCAGTAATCTAACTAAGCTACTTTTTCAAGGAGTAATCAATAATCCGATTAAAGTTTCTTTTTCAAAGTAACTATGTCATCACTGCTTATCAATGTCTTATTATTCTGCTTTACTACTTTGTACATTACATGATTCACTACACACTAGAGTACTGCAAACATATTAGGCTACCAGTTTACAGAAGGATCAAATACAACACACTTTGCGATTGAAAATTTTTTTTGTGTGTATTCAATATATTTACATTTTTCAAGAGTACATTGCCAATATACTGTTACAGAATTTTACAAACTGTCAGTACATAAAATACTTACAGACAACATGCTTATGAAAATTAGCACAATAAAAAGTAGGTACACTTTAGAGGAAATGTGAAAAATATTTCACCAAGGACAGAATATTTTTTTGATTCAATGTCAGCATTTCAGTATTACTTTAGACAAACTAGCATTTCTCCTTCCTAAGAACACTTT